TTGTTCACACAGTAGATCATAATAGCATTGTTTACACATGCATAGTCATATATAGTCACAGTTAAGACAATGCTGATCACATATTGTCAAAGTTAAGACATATTATGTCACGTATGGTCATATTTAAGAAAGATCTGGTCACAAACAGTCACATGTGATCAATTAATTTGATAATTTATGACTATAAAATAATTGTAACCAATAAAATTTGTGATTTCAGATCGAGAAATAGATTGTAACCTATAAAATAGGACTTTATTCAATATAAATTGTACAACAATACATCACCTTCAAATAACAACAAGTCACAATAAATGTGTTACATGTCACAAACATTCACAGTGAAAACAGATCTGATCATTATAGTGACAAATAACACAAACTTGGTTACAGAAAAATCACGCTCAACACATAAAAGGCCATAAATAATCACAATTAATAGAAGATTGGACATACTAATTCCATTGTTCACAAAACCAAGCAAGTGTAAAATTGCAAGCAAGGGCCTGTAATTTCATAAATTGCACTAGAGACCTCCACCCCCAGGTCATCATCAATCCCTAATTTCATCCATTTTCCTCTACATCGCACGCATGTAAACCTTGATTTTCCCCAAGTTTCCTCTGACGATGGAGGGTGGCTACATGTGGTGAGCCATCTCAGGCCCACCTCATTCGCACAAAGTTGCTGCGTGTGGCACCACTCTATGCAACGGTACTATTTTCAAGGTGCTACTAAAGAGTCAGCGTCACTATCAACGATGAACATGATTGTTGACAAGAGGAAGTGGTGAGAGTCAACATTTGACAGTCGAGGAAATTCCAATTTGTGATATATTTTTACAAATTTGTTAAGTTTATTGTTATAGTATTGAATTTATGTATTTGCCCCGGCCAATGTTTTGAAAACCGGATCAACTAGTTCAATCGGAAAAATTGGGAATTGGTCTCCAATTCAATCCGATCATAATGTATTAATCGGAAACGAAAAAAAATTAGGAAATAACCTGTTGAACTGGCCATTTTAACAAGAAATCGGAAATCGGTCACGGTTTTTACCGGTTAATAAGGGTGTTTTTAAAAAAAAAAAATCAACTTGTTTTTAAATAAAAAAAAAAAAAAAATCAACTTGTTAAATGGGCTCAAGCATTAGAAAAGCCAATTTTGTCTTCCTTCCAATCCAAGTGTTGCTTTGAAAAAAAAAAGAAAAGAAAAGAAAGAGTCATATGCAATTTTCTCCATCTTCTGATGTGAGATAAGCTGTGTAACTTTTTGCAATTTTATATATTTAATTGTTCACTTCTTTCTATTTAACAAATTTTGGTCCTCAAAGCACAAATAATTTCAATTTGAACAAAGCAAATTATTTTGAACACATTATTTGTTAGTTTTTTATGTTTTAAGATAAATTATAGAATTATAAATCTAATTGACAAATATTAATTTATATTTACTTTGAATTAATAATGCAGAATTTTAAAAATTTATTGTTTTAATATTTTATAGTTTGTTGGAGTATTTATTTATTTAATTTTGATATCCAGTTTGACCTCGGGTCAACTCTAATTCAACTACTTGATCTTTGACCTTTTTCTTTTTCGAGTTGATGTCCAAATCATTTTTAAGACATTGGTCCCAACGATGTTTTGAAATGTAGGGGTGGTGAATAATGCCCAATCTAATTTGTGGGTGAAGTATAGGGTCCATACTGAATCACGCCCCTTCCCACTTCTAATTTCTGAGAATAATATGATAAAACATGTGGGTTTAATCTTGGTTTGGGTAGGGGACAAGTTTGTTGGTTAGGTGAGGTTAGGGTAGGTTAGTTCGATTGGGGCTTGGGGTTGTGTAGAAGGGGAAGATGAATGTTGTTGTTGTTACTATTATTATTGTTCTTATTTCTCTTCTTTTTAAATTTTTTTAACTTTTAATTGTTAATTAATTAAATTTAAAAAATCATTTTATTCAATGTTAAATTGATCAAATTACGGTAAGATATTTGAATGTTGATCAATTGGGAAATTTTTGGTTGAAAAACGTCATAGATCCTTCTGATGCACATTAATTAATACGTTTGGGATAGTGTAGTGATAAATGTGTTTTTGCACACTCATTTAATGTTTAAATATTGATTAAATTAGCGAATTTCTATTCACAATTATGTAATTATTGCTTTTGCAGATAAAAATCACCCAAAGTAATATATATATATATATATATATATATATATA